GAACCTCCACACTCTTTGTCAGGCACTCGTTGAATGTACCCATTGGCTAGGTACTTGCGGATTACATCGCTGTATGCTGTTGCTGCTGCTGAGTCCTGTCGCAGCCTCTTTTCCAAGCTGTGCAGACGGCCAAGTGCCTTCGCTCGGCTTTCAGGCATGACTGGACGTTTGGATGTCCAGGGTATGCCAATGCAGTAGCGGCCGTCTGTCACCTTCAACGACACTGCAAATTTCTGCTCTGCCGCCTTGTCGCGAGACATGAATTTCGTAGTGCTGCTGTTCACTTCTTCGATTTCCCACAGGCGCTTAAAGCTGCTCTGTAGGTCGCCGTCGCTGAACATTGTGAAGCAGCAGCTTGCTGTTGGGGGTGCTGATTTTTCTTGGCCGATGCAGGTCCAACCTAATGCCGTCCGACGCGCCACGGGCTCATGACTTTTACCCGAGGGCTCTTCATGCGCCATGTGAAGCTCCGGATAGTCTGCACCAATAAGCACGTCAATGTGGCGTTTCGACGGTAGCGGCGGAAACTCGATGTTGGCTAGATGTGCGTACTGCTTTTCCAGGTGGTGCCAGTCTACAACCTCCATGTTGCCTGTTGGCTGCTCAATTGTGCACGCATGTCATCGATGTGGCTCCGTCAACGATTCGCAGAGTGCACACTACTGGTACAGTGTGAATGATCTCTTGTTGTCCATTCAGCTTGCTGATCGTTAGCGACATGCTTGATACCACCAGGCCGAGTTCTGCTGTAACATTGCTCGCTATGTAGGAGTGCATGCTGGCGTCGTCCAGCAGCGCGTTGACTGTTAGCGACCGCTTGCCGTTTCATAGCGGTACGGGGACTGTTCGAATCGATGTCACCGTCCGTACTCTTTTCTCCTCTCCCTCCGTGCTGTTTCCGAGGGAGACAGCACTGAACTTCTCCGGTTGCATGGTTTGCACTGAAGGCGGTTGACGGGGCTCACTGTGCAGCAGGCGATGGTGACGCTGCGTGTACCCGTCAATACCACATTCCTGGTCCCATGGGTAATCCTTGCCGCTGTGCCTAGTCGCAAGGCATCTATAACACGACTGGCTTCTCTTTGCTGCTGCCCAGCGCTGGCTTAGAGTTTGTTTCTGAAACTCTGGGCAGCGCCAGATCGGGTGCTCGCCGTCATTGCAACATTGGCACGTCGACCTTGCAGTCGGCATGTTTCCGGCGGTGTTTGTCGCTGTCACGAACGTGGTCGTGCGCGGTTGCACAGCGTCACGAGCCGTTGCCGTCCGAGTCGGCTGATTTCGACTTGTTTGCTGGTTGATGGTTGGCTCCTGGCGTGATGCAGCTGGCTGATGCCTTCGATAGTTTCCGTGGCGACAGCAAGAACTTCTGCCTCAGTATTCAGCCACTCCAGCAGCACCTCGACCGATTCGTCTTTCTGGTGGTGGACGATCCAACGGCGATACAGCGCCAACAAGTTCACCGGCGGCTTCTGCTGGATCCGCTGGTAAAGAATGCCGGTACCAAGCTCTGTGTGCGTACCGGCATCCTTCAATGTTACCACCGCCATGTCGAGCAAATCGGTAAAGCGCTCCAGGTCCTGGACTCTACCGGATCGAATAGGTGGAGATTGCTCCAGCTCTTCCATCCTAACCGCAAGGTGCCGGCTACTCCCACCGAAGCGTCGCTCCAGCCGCCGCAGAGCAGCCTTGAATGCTGCTGCCGAGCAGCCAAGACTCTCGATGGCATCCAGTGCCTCAACCACCACGTACTGTCGGAGCTGCAGCAGCTTGAATTCAGTGGAGAGCGGCTGCTGGTCCACACAAACCCTGAAAGCGAATTTCCAGCGCTCATATTTTCGCTTCTCTCTCGGTGAACACGGCAATTTCGATCCGCTTCAACTTGCTGGCGATGTTGAACTGTGCAGCTGCCTCTGGTGCAGTCCGTGGCGTAGGTCAAGCTGCGGTGCCTCCGACGTATGTCGGAATTGGGGTGAATACTGCGATATGGGGTGCTTGCATGCCAGGGCTGGGTCTCGCACCGTACTATGACGCTCCAGCAGAGATGGTGTGCGACGGTCCAGTAGACACAGGCGATTTCTACACGACTGCAATGTTGCTCACACTCCACTGCGGTTGCTGTTGTTGTTGGTACATATATGCCTGCACTATTGTTGCCATACGTTGCATACATTTGTCAGGGTAAATGCCATCGTTAATGCTAGAGCCGCCAGGGGCAGATAAATGCATGATGAGGCGTACGCCGCCAGACTTCTTGGGCACGATGCCAACGCCAGAACATCGGATATTAGGAAACGGGGGTTGGGAATAAGGCCCGGCCATGTGGCCGCGCATGCATTCTGACTGAAGGTAAGCAGAGACAGCGACAGGGTTGAGCAGTGCGGAAGGGAGATTAGGGGCGATGAGGCGGGATCTATTACCATGATAGCCAATGTCGTGACAGAGAGAATGCACAAAATCGTTATCGGGGTGCTGGGATAGCTCTTCAAACAGCAGGGGGATATTTACAGGGGACCAAGGCGCGTGTGAGCTAATTGGAGGTGCAGGGTTGGCCAGCAGAGCATGTGGATTGGCCATGACCGAGGCGGCCGCAAGAGAGGCAGCTGTGGGCGAAGCGGCAGTTGGAGCGGACGCACTTTCCTTGAGTGAAGAGGCGGCATACTTCTTTGTCGACCGTGTCGTTGCCGCTGTTGAGCCGAAAGGAACGAGCGTCATTGCTGCTGGTGGGCCGAAAGGGACGAAATGCCCGCGCGTAAAATATAGTTGTGTATATGTCCTGGACTATAGCGTCCCACTGCATGGTTGGGTCCGCGGCCAGGAGTGAGCGGAATGATCGGTCATACTCCTGCACGGCCTCAAATCGGAATTTCCGGGCTTTTTTCAGGATAATCTGCTGGTACGCAAACAGCTCTGGGGCCCTGGAGGGGTGTGCTGTGGCGTAAATCGTGTAGTATGCAGTCCAGGCGTCAAGCCAGGAGTCGATGTCCTCGACCTTCCTGGAGGGCCTGTTGGAAGGTGCCAGGACCACTGCACCGTACGAGCTGTCGTGGTCGATCTGGAGAAAACTGCGGCTGGTGTCCAGGCAACAATGAGCCCAATTCAACAAATTGGCCAGTTACTACTTTATCTTGAATGGCTTTCTGCACGGTTGCATAAAACGTTCTCTTACCTGCGGGGTTCATTGGCGGTGAGATGGCGGCCGCCAAATGCGGAGCAGGCAGAGCGTCATGCGAAGTTGCTGGTGCTTGCCGTGGGGGTGCCGCTGCGTGAGCTGCCGGTGGGGATGCCGCTGCGTGAGCTGCCGGTGGGACTGGAGCTGCGGCATGATTTCCAAGGGCAGCACAGACCTCCTCCCGGATAATGTCCCACTGAGCAGCAGTTGCCTTGGGTAGGTTCTGCTCGGCTGCCTGGGTGGCCAAGTCCTCGCGTACTGCAGTGAACTCCAATGACTCGAGCAGGCGAGTCAACAGCCTGGGTTTGGTCCCCGTCGTGTCTAAATTGCGGGCCGCCAGTTCTTTTCGCAGCTCTACAGAGCGCATTTTCTTGGCATCGTTCACTGACAGAGATTCAGACATGGTTGCTCGGAAATTGAAAGTGCTCAAAGCTTAAGAACTGGCCAAGATTGTCAAGCGGTCTGACTGTTGGCGCAGCAAGGATGAAGAAGAAACAGCATCGAGAGCCAGAGTAATGCGCATGCTCCGCTCGGTCCCGAGCAGGGGCGCGGGAGTTCGGAGTGTGTGTTCTGCACAGGCACGTGATTCATGCGCTATGGCAAGTACATGCAAGTTATGTAAGAATGTAATTGTTGGTGGGTTGCTAACTTCACTTACCGTGACACGCACGGAAACTTATATTTATGAACTCTTGATACAAAGCATAACAAGAAACACGCTGACCTTCTTTTTCAAATGAAATGTTGTCCTCATACTAAAATCCAAAAAAAATGCCTTTAACCCTTTCACTACCCATTTTTATTCGCAATTGAGTCACTTCACAGTCTACAAAAATACGACTTTTGTTATATCTCTGCTCTCCTTTGGCCATTTCTCACAAACAACCACTCTCTGCAAAGCTAATGATGGCAGCTACACACTCGTAGAAACTACAACACCAGGCGCCATTTGTGTGTACCGCGCCGTGATGAAGAAAACATTTCCAAACTCAAACAAATAAGAGCAGCACGATCTGTCGCCAGTGGCTGACTGATTTGTAAAATCGTGGCTCATAGAAACCAGACGGAGTTCCTGTGGAAATACCTAAAACCCGAAGGATTTCCAGCCCCAAAATGTAAAGGTAAGCGAGAAGATATCAGAGTTATTCTCAGCGTGACGGCGACTCAAAATGTTTGAATGCGCATTTTTGATCGCGCCCTGGCTTCGAGCTTCGTCTTGCGCCAATTATGCACCAAGGAGTGAAAGCGATACTTGCAGTCGATAGTCAAGGTCTTTCTGAAGACGTAGAGCCCTCATTTGTAATAATCCGACGAACTCAGAAGGTGAGCCAAGGAAAACAATTGTAACATGGAAATTGTGGGCACAAGTTATGCGATCGAGTCCACCAACTATTAGTATACCAGATTTTGAATAGTCAGACGTGCACAATCTAGCACAAAACTGACAAGAAGTGCTGAGACATTCCATGGCATGAAAGTCAGCTTGAGCACTGCTCGATAGCGCTAACTAACACCATTCCACCTTAGAAGGTTCTTGGATAATAATGCGAATTCTAAAGTGGTGAAGGCAAGCGCCATCGTTGCAAGAGCTGAGACTCCAGCTCTGGACGACTGGACTTTGATTTGAATGCGCGATATTCGATATTCACTGTGATATACATCATTATGTTATGTTACCTTTATTTTACTTCACCATCGGTACAGGCATTGCTGCCTTCTTGCTGCAGATCATAAAAATATAATGATGCCACAGCTCCTAGGCTATGATTACAGGTAAGGTTTTTAAACCTCGGTCTGCATCCTACAAGAAATGTTCATCCTGGGTACATACCATTGTCTTGCCCTGTAGCTATGTTTGGTCCTGCCAAGAAGCCGGGTGGTCGATTCTACCAAATGCGATTGGGGATGATCACCTTGAAGCATGGAGCAAGCACAGCACACAGAGGATAAATGATTAGTTCAGGAACAGAGTGCAAGCCTGCAAGATCTGAAACCTTACAAATGTGTACCTTAGAGGACTTCACTACTCATGTCTGTTACAACTTATGTACTATGTGACTTACATAGCACTATGTACCATGTGACTTACATAGCACTATGTACCATGTGACTTACATAGCACACGACTGGGTACGACATACACTTGCTTTGTACGTCCATTTTATGGCACGGATATTCCCACCATTAGGGATGAAACAAATATTCGAACTATTCGAATATTCGATCGGAGCACGCCTTGTAAGGAATTTGCTTCGCTTCGCTTGTTTTCGAATAGTCGAGGAGTACAGTTCGATCGGGGTTTCTAGTACTGAAGTACCTTGTACTGCTGTGCATCATGTAGAGTACGTGCATGAATGTACATCCGCGGTGCGTGCAGTGCATGTAGCGAACCAGGTGACAAATCGAGTCAATCGCGTACTGATAGCTGCTACTGGCATGCATATTTGGCACCTCTACTGTACTTGATCGGGGACTCCATTAGGCCCAGACAGATTCTGCTCCGGTCTCCTCGATATTTTGAGGCAAAAATGTTGCTGCGAAATCTTCGAAATTTTGCCGAGCCTGGCACAAGAAACTCGATATTTTGCTCCATTTTGCTCCGGGAAAACGTGTATTATATCCACTTCCCATACAATCCCGTACAACGTTTCATAAAAATCGCAGGGTCGGTTTCTCAACACGGGGTTCAACGCATGTGTACCTGAATTCTTCCAAAATCAAGTCGATCCCCAGTGAATCCCAGAGATATTTCGGTGACATGATCTCGTCCTGGGCAGTGTATCCTGCTGAACGGGTAAAAAACAAGGAAATCCAAGTATCAGGCATCGATTTTACCCAACATTTCGATATTTTGCTCCGATTTTGCCAGCAATTTCCGCTCTTTCAATTCTTCGATATTTTGCCGAAAGAATTGCCAGCAGGATCTGTCTGGGCCTAGACTCCATTCACACACGCAGCCGAGAATGGACCTCGCAGCTCTTCACGGATTGAGTTGCACAGCCCAGCGCCAGAATGGATGCAAGACGACAAACACAAGCAAGCGCGCGAGGCATTTCGGAAGTCCTTCTCTCTCCTCATCTGGCGCAGTTGTACTTGCAGTTTCTGTTTCCATTTCCTAGTCATGTCCGTTCGTCCCAGTCGCTTGTCTGTTTGGGACTATGTGCTGAGAGACGATCCCAAAAAAGGCAAGACAAAGAGTAAGCTGTGCTTTAAAGTACTTCACAATAGCTTCAATGGATCGACAAAGACGAAATTTGTGGAACTATGTCCGAACCGCTTACGACCGCGCGTTATCTGGAACTTCGGGAGTGATAAAAAAGTCAAGCTGGAAACAAACGTGAAGCCACCACATCCTGGGAGCAAAGCGTCGTTCTTTTCTAAGTTCTCTTCTGTCGTGGACTGGAGAAATAACAATGCGCTATCATTGCTAGGTCAAGGTGTGTGGGTATATGTGTGTGTGTGAGTGTATGTGTGTGTGTGTGTGTGTGTGTGTGTGTGTGTGTGTGTGTGTGTGTGTGTGTGTGTGTGTGTGTGTGTGTGTGTGTGTGTGTGTGTGTCTGTGTGTCTGTGTGTATGTGTCAGAAAAAGCCACTTCATAGCTGTGTGGTGTAGACCAGGCTGAATAGTGGCGGTCAATTCTTCAGCCTTGCAAGTTGCTGAATGGTGCAATCCCAGCACAAGCTGCTATGGCTTCTGCTGCAGCATCGCTATCATCGCCTTCGGCGATGGGCGTCCAATGGTCCAATGGTGTGTGGGTGTGCGTGCGTGCGTGTGTGTGTGTATGATGTGTGCGGGGAAAAAAGACCAAAAATAGGGATTCAATAGCCCGAAAAAGTCACTTCAAATAGCTGTATGGTGTAGACCAGGCTGAATAGTGACGATCAATTCTTCAGCCTTGCAAGCTGTTGAATGGTGCAATCCCAGCACAAGTTGCTATGGCTTCTGCCGTAGCATTGCTATCATCGCCTCCGGCGATGGGCGTCAAAGGTCAAAGGTCAAAGGTCAAAGGTGTGCGTGCGTGTGTGTGTGTAATACTGTGTATGTGTGTGTGTGTGGGTGTATGCACTGCACAAGCATCATAGCATAATTATGTGTAAACATTTTCACTTACCTTTTTAAATTCTATGTAAAGGTATGTATATATGAACACTGACCACACATACAATGCCTAAATAACTACTTGAAAATGGCAAAGAATATTCGGAAAACTCTTCGTTGCGCAACATACCGTAAAGTCTTGTATAAAAGCCGCTGTTTTTATGACTTTCATGGTGAAATTTTGCAGGCTTCTATACGAGACAGGTATTTCTATGTATGTCAACTCTAAAACCTGGCTTATGTGTGATTAGATGGGCCCAAAATTGCGGCTTCTATTCAAGTGCGGCTTCTATTCAAGTGCTGCTTTTAAACAAGACTTTACAGTACTTGTTTAGAATATTCTATTCGCTTCGTTTGGTATTCGTTTGAGCAACACCTACCATATTAAAGTGCATGCAAGAATTCAAATCAAATGTGTCGGTACGACATACTATAAGGTGTACAACTCGTGCTTGACGTAAACGGTGGCACATGGTACGGAGTGCGCGATGGCTGATTCATGCCCTATTGGCTAGCCCGAGGTTGCGCACCGTGGTCCAGGAACCATTAGGCCCGCAGGCTACGGTACATAACTGAGGGCTACGGTAAATAACTAAGGCTACGCACATGACTGAGGGCTACGCACATGACTGAGGGCTACGCACATGACTGAGGGCTACGCACATGACTGAGGGCTACGCACATAACTGAGGGCTACGCACATGACTGAGGGCTACGGTACATGACTAAGGCTACGCACATGACTGAGAGCTACGCACATGACTGAGGGCTACGCACATAGCTGAGGGCTACGCACATGACTGAGGGCTGCGCACATGACTGAGGGCTACGGTACATGACTAAGGCTACGCACATGACTGAGGGCTACGCACATGGCTGAGGGCTACGCACATGACTGAGGGCTACGGTACATGACTGAGGCTACACACATGACTGAGGGCTACGCACATGACTGAGGGCTACGCACATGACCGAGGGCTACGCACATGACTGAGGGCTGCGCACATGACTAAGGCTACGCACATGACCGAGGGCTACGCACATGACCGAGGGCTACGCACATGACTGAGGGCTACGGTACACAACTGAGGGCTACGGTACATGAATGAGGGCTACGGTACATGACTGAGGGCTACGGTACATGACTGAGGGCTACGGTTTATAACTAAGGCTACACACATGACTGAGGGCTACGGTACATGACTGAGGGCTACGGTATATAACTAAGGCTGCACACATGACTGAGGGCTACGGTACATGCGCCTGCCAGTGGCGGATCCAGGATCCGAAACAAGGGGGGGGGGCACACTACAGGCTCAATGGAACAAGTTTACTTTTACAATGACTTTTGTGATACTCGAACATGTAAATGTATGGGCACTATTGGCACATCCACTAGCAGCTGTCCTAGCTTCCTTCGCAGGTGGCAGCGAATCAAACAAGGTAAGTTGCTTCCTTCTCTTCATTTTCGAACTGCTGTAAAACAACAACGAGGTTCTGGAACGCCAAGGCAAGTGAAGTTTGCAAGGCAAGGGCAGGAAAATCTACGCATTGCCATGCGAAGTTTTGGACTGTGTACTTGCACTTGTACCGTCTTTGTTTTCGTACTAAGAGTACAGTGCAGTACTAGACCAAAACCGTAGTTCTGGTGCGCACGGATCGCGGATCGCGGAATACAGATCGACGCGACGAGAGTTGACAGTTCACAAGTTCAGTACACGCGTACCGCGTATCGATCTACGGACCCGGTGAACCAGTGCATGAATGTGTTCAGTGCATGCAGTACAGCGACTGGGCCTTGTCATCTACACAGGAAGTGCGAGCGAGCTCGATTTCGATCGAGATCAGTAAAAAAAAAGTCAGTCGGCGCTTCTGAAGGGGGGGGGGGGCACGTGCCCCCTTCGCCCCCTCTAAATCCGCCACTGCCTGCCATGTGAAGATGCCAAGACCTCTGGTCGGTTGAGCATGGCAAGCCCCACCAGCACCATCTAACCCCATGCTAGCCCCATGTGCCTGCCGGAGACCTGTGTATTTTGTAAAAAAAATTAGGGCTGAAACAATTATACCGATAACTCGCATATCGATCGTTAAGAGTGGAATCGATAATCGTTAGTGTTCAAAACGAGTGCTAACGATGTTTATGCGTGTATATCAGTGACAGTATTCTAGCCCTTGCACTCCATCGATAGCGAATACGAGTACAATCATGTACTTTCAAGCGCAGTAACATTGACTTGTGGCTTTGCAAGAGATCGGGAGAGAAGACTTTGTCTTTTCAGTTCATTTGTGGGAAAGGTCAGAGCAGTTGCCGGAGGGAGATGACAAAATTCTTCGCTCTAGAAACAACGTGAAATCCTCTAGTTTATGTTGATAAACCAGCCAGATGTCTACAGATGTCAGCAGTGCGGAGCCACAAATTTCTAACGTTGTAAAGGTATCGTCGAATATCTTCATAAACTGGTGTTCGAGGTACACGGGTAAAGCCGACAAGAATCGATAAAACCAATATATCGATCGTTAATGATATTGGTTGATTGTTAAGAGATATTGAATGATCGTTTCAGCCCTAAAAAAATAATTTAAAAAATGACTGAGGGGGACAGTACATGAATGAGGGCTATGGTACATCACTGAGGGCTACGGTACATGACTGAGGGCTACAGTACATGAATGACGGCTACGGTACACGACTGAGGGCTACGGCACGTGAATGAGGGCTACAGTACATGACCGAGGGCTACAGTACATGACCGAGGGCTACGCACATGACTGGGGGCAGTACATGAATGAGGGCTACGGTACATGACTGAGGACTATGGTACACGACTGAGGACTACGCACCCTGGCATGCGATAATCCAAGTACACGTACGGGCATGCGGTTAGCCATCATGCCCACCGCACGGTGTGTGTTTTATAGTTACATGCCACATGCTTAATTGGTAGACAAGCAAACTTAATCAGGAATACTGGGTCAACGGAGGAGGAAGATCAATGACAAAAAGAACGAAAGGAATGCAAGACCTAAAGCAGCTGTCTCCGTGGAATAATTGAAGACCTTGTATCAGATTTAATTGCAGTTCATATTGCCTCTTGAAACTCGTTACCGCAGTGGACTGTTAGGCAACTATCGTAAGTTATAGGTCCTTTTTTCTTACCGATTGCCAATTGTTTTTGTTTTTTTGCAAGGTACAGAACTCGGCTGCAGTCACATGGGGCTAGCATGGGGTGAGATGGTGCTGGTGGGGCCTTCCATGCTCAACCGACCAGAGGTCTCGGCACCTTAGAATGGCGGGTGCACCAAATCGAGAGAAAGCAATAAGCATACGTGTCATTCTCTTGTCCCATTATTAACTAAATTACTTCTCCTGTATCGAGAGTGCTACTATTATGCTATTAAAGTATTATTGTTTTGCACGGTGCGCGTAAGTATTTTCGTTTGGTGTGGAGTGGAGAAGGGCATGTAGTGTCCTTTGGGAATGATCCAATGTGTTCCATGTGCGTTGGTAATACTGCCACCTTACCTGGTCACTGTTCTAAAGGCAGGGTCTTGTACATTATTGACAGTGCAGGCCATAGAGCAGGGGTCATTCCTAATGGGCACAGGTACACTGCGCCCGCGTACAAGCGACAGATAACAGTGCAGCAAACTTGGACATATCGGAGTGCAATAAAACAGTCCAAGCATTTTGCTTTACTGCACATATATCGTATTGGTGTTACTGCATGAGTCAACTTTGGACAAGAAATAGCCCCGGATACTAAGTAGCTTTTCACCTCCCGGAGAGGTGACATTACAATCCGAGTTCCACTATTGTATGAAGATGTTGGTTATAGTATGTTGCAGCTCTTGTCTTCCTTCCTTCCGCCTGACTTGACACTGAACTCACTCACCACAGCCTACTATGCCCCACGTGCTTTACTGCTAGTTCAGCAGCCCCTACAGATAGCCGTTCAGCATTGTTCTTTCTTCTCTTTCTCTGTGCTTTTCTTCCTTCTCTGTCTGATCGTAGGGATTTTGCCATTCGTTAACAAATGGACTGTTTCTGGATGGTAATTATCGTGGACGCACGGGCTCCTGACTGCAGTTGTGAGTCAGTCAAGTTTCAATTCAGTCGAGAGGAAGCGGAAAGGTTCGGAGCAGCCACCTTCTTCACATGCAACCGCCGACTTGGCAACATCTTAGTTCGGGGAGGGGGGCTGATTAATTTCACCAACATTCTAACAACAAAATTTGACGGCCAGCTACCTTACAGTTCGAGAGCGGTCCCAGTGACGATCCAACTGCAGAAGGTTGCGGCAAGAAACCAGCGGCAGCTCTGAACTTGCTGGAAAGCCAGGAAGGTCCGAAAACTCAACTACAATGTATACTTGTAGACAATTCACAAGATTGCACACCTGCCTTTTCACAGCTGTCCAAGTGACGAAAACTCAACTCGTGGTCTTGCGTTCTATGTAGATCTACATGTATGTAATCAAGCACGCTCAGGATCTAGGAGGTCATGGTTGCTGAATCTTGCCCGAGCCTGCAGCCCAAGGCCCGGTTGCCAAGGGCCGGCCGTACCGTAGGCCCGAGGGCTGCATGCTGCAGGCAAAGGAGGGAGGTATATTATGTATCAGATTGCAACGACCAGGAGGCCCTAAGTAGTGGCTGCAAATGACCGATATCCGTCACTTGCAGCTCTGCATCAGAGACCTGTAGCTGGCCTGAAGAGTTGTAAAATTACTCCTTCGTAGCCGGGCGAGTCAGAGCGAGGGCGATTCACGGCTTGGTCAAAAAACTGTCGGCCTGGAACGTAAACGTCGATCTGCCGACACAGTTCACCTGGTTCACACGCCTGACCTGGCATGCTGCCTTGCGTGAAAGGAACATTTTTCCGAAAGCAAGCTTCTTCTCCAAAATTCGAAATTTCCTTCCAAAAATGCCGTCGTCCTTGACCTCGAAGCTGAATGTTGTTAGGATAGAAAATTAGCGAAGATGTAGCCGACCCATTCTGGCAAGCCGTGTGCCCTCTGGATATGCAGTTGTTCGCCATGGTCAACAATCTTCTTCTCCTTCGTTCGTACTTTCACTTTCCTGACCACGAATACAAGCGGTACCCATGCTCAGGTTAGTGTTTATTTGTCTGTCTATGCACATACATGTATTACAATGTACTGTTCGTGCTGCAGGCACTGGCCGATCATGGAAATAGAGGAAGCAGCCAGCTTTCTTTGAATTCTCGTGCTTTCAACAAAAAATATGTACACACTTTCCTTGGCTGCTTTTTCCCACCGTCACCATGCATGCACTGCTTTTCAAATTCGTGTTTGCTTTGGCAGTGGTTTCATGGGTATCCTTCAGCCTTCCCTGGCATTCAAAATTCAGAATAGTTTCCACCCAGGTGCGAGTACCTCTGTTCTGCTTAGCACATTGTAGTAAAATTATTTGCAACTGTCCACCACTGCACTCTTGGCTCACATTCACCACACCATAGCGAGGAAGTTTGTTCTTGGATAGATGTCTGGAGGATGTAGAGCATCTATCCAAGAACGAACTTCCTCGCTATGGTGTGGTAAATGTGGGCCAAGAGCGCAGTGAGGAGAGGTGAACAGTTTCAAATTATTTAGCCACATCCGATCCTTTCTCCGATAATTATGGACATGTTTTACTATACCGGTATATTGAATGGCCACGCATGCTTCTATTGAGAGGTAACACCACTCAGGAAACTGAGGAAAGCCAACCGGTGTTGCACAGGATTTGAGGTTGGGAAGAAAAGATGTTCCGATAAAAGAACTGCGAGTACATGGGAAACGTATTATGGAAAGGGCAGTCCGAGTCGAACTAGGATCTCCTGTTCCAGACTGTACCGAAAGCGTGAATATGAATACCGTAAAATCGCGGATAAAAGCCGGGTTTGCATACAAACACATCGCAGATAGAAGCCTGAAAATCAAACGGGTTAAATGCATATAAGCCTGTCGCGCGTAGAAGCCTGTCTTCTATGCAAGCGCGGATCGGGTGGGTCAAGAGTGCATGCGCTATGTACGGTGCATAGTAAAACTGCCGCCATACTGGTAGTCAGTGGTAGATCTACGCTTGTCGCGCGTAGAAGCCTGGAATACAAGTCTGGCAAAAATATCAGTGGTGCATATAAGCATGGTTTGCATACAAGCCTGGTTTGCATTAAGCCTGATGCAGAAAACGGCTCATGTGCTTATAAGCCCGGCTTTTATCCGCGACTTTATGGTACAGGAGAATGCCGATAATCCGAACAATCACTTATTCGAAATGCCAGTTTCCATTGAATTGAAGGGACGAAAATGAGCTTCTGCTCATTTTCCCCAACCCCAAGCACCATTCAAGCGGTGCACAAGATAGTTTGCAACAGGTTGGAGCAACAATGTATCACCGTGGTGTCATATTGAGGAGCTAGAGTGTGTCTAGTTCCTGTGAAGAGAATGTGAGAAATGATGGAAACGTGAAGGAATGTGCAAGTCTTAGATGGATGTGTGACTGCTCCCTTATCAGAATTTTTCCCCATCCGAACCCCCTGGAGAAAGCGTGCGCCCGAGGGGTGCGGATAATCTACACTCTGCTGTAACAGTTATGTACAATGAGTGCCGATGCACATTGGACAACGTTGCAAATGTAGAATTGTAGGTGGACTGTGGTTCACATTAGACGATCGGAGTACCCCCACCAAACGAAGAGAGCTCAACATCACAAGGTAGAGCTTGCATGTACAATCGAAAAAGAGTACATATACCATTAGCTGATGCTGTTAGTGTGTGTTACGAAGTCTGAAGAAAATGTTGAACGATCTCGGCTGGGATGACGGCTACACCTTAGCTCAGTGATTAGAGCATCGCTGGCCTCAAGCGAAGGTCCCTGGTTCGAATCCTGGTGATGACAGTCAATTTTTTCTTCAGACCTTTCCCGTTTGTGCCTTTCCCTCTAACCAGTGAATATTACTCTTAGCTTCGTACTTTGAGTGATTATCACTTACAGTTACATATACTTGATAATTTCTTAGCACATGAAAATCGGAGACAGTACCACAATATTCCTCCCTCACTATAATGAGTCTAGATACTTTGAATGTGGAACAGGGTCCAGGACAGGATCGTCTGCTCTATCCAAATTATGGCCTGGTTGCAATTTGTCTATTTTCCAGCAGGTACATCGCGCCAGGGAGTCATAGCACCTACACTGTAGGGAGACTACACAATACTTTATAGAATTTTGGGTCAGGATTTGGAGGTTCTCCGTGATCTGTGCAATCACGGCCTTGACCTACTGACCCTGAGAACGGCCCAGATTAGCAATGCCATGTACGAGCGTGTATAGATCTGCCCAATGGTGCCCCAGGGGTGGCTGAAACAGGAACCCCTGGGTCGAACCTCATGTCATTTAGCTTTACAGTCGCCTGTGCCGTCTACCTAGATGCTACAACTCCCTGCGTTGCACCCAGTAAATGCAGCACATCAAGTATACAGCCATGTAGTGTTGGTTGTCACCTGTTCTGATCGTGTGATATCACAAACAATCTTCTACGGTCCATTCATTCGAACCTGGCACGTTAGGGGCCATCCATAATTATCTATCTTTAACAAGAAACGAGAAAAAAATCGTTCATGGGCGGGTGGGTCAAGAAGGGTTTCGTAATGAAAAATATTGATAGCTGAAATACTAGTCCATCCCAGCTATTTTTCGTTGAGGGGTGAGTAGGTGGGGGTGGGGGACGGTCACAAGTTACTCATCACTAAACTTTTCATTTCGTGAAAATTATCGATAATGCCGGGTCCATAATTGTCGATCTTTTACACGAAGAGAAAAAGTTTCGTTGGTGGGTGGGTCAAGGGGAGTTTCATTTCGAAAAAATACTGATATTACAGACATCAATCGGGGGGGGGGGGGGGGGGGTGGGTGGGTGGGTGGAGGAGGGTCCTTCTTTCATTTCGTGAAAATTATCGATAATGCTGGATAGCTTTAGTCTATGCAATAAAATAGTGGTTTTCTTCACACAGACCGTAAAGTTTAAACAATATCCGGCCAGGTTTGTACCGAACATTTTTTCGAAAGGTAATTTCTCAAATGTTGCCTTGAGTACGTTCTCAGCAACATAGCGGGCCAGTTTCAAATAATTGGACTTCAAACGTGCATCGCTGGTTGTTCCAGCTCCATCACAGGTCGTATCACGGGAAATTGAGTCCAGCTCCACTTCAAGGTTGGGTGACACGTGATGGGCATCACTTGCTGCATGCTGGTGCATGTGACTCAAGAGCTCTGGCTGGCAAGTAGTTTTAGACTGCAGGTGCAATACAAGATTTTTCTGCGATGTGCTATGCATTGTGCATTGCATTTCTCGAGAGACACTTCACGCTATGTGAAAAAAAAGAATTTCGCTCAATGTGGTATTGTGCATCGTGCAGTGCAACTTTCCCACAAAACTGGACTCAAAGCACCTTATAGCTGTGGTTCACAGCAAAGATTTTCCTATTTGCGACTCTTGGTTTAATGGGTGCAGTAGCATGCATGTGCCTGGTGATATTGTTGCAATGGATCATAGTGAGGGCGTAGCAGTACTTGTGCACTGATAGTTGGTCATGGCATGAGTACATAACCAAGAGTGGGCAACTCGATGATCCCTCTGCCCACGGCAGAAAGTTTCATCACTTCGGCTTTTGTAGGCCATTGGGCTCACTAATACCATCATGCATAGCCAGAGATCAAAACTTGTACATCACAGCTACGGTAGTTGAAGCAGAACAATGAACTGTGGATCCATGCCTACTGAACCTGATGAAACACTCTATCTACATGGCACATGTAGAAATATATGCGCGCTTGCTCATAATCATTGGATTTCGAAGCCGATCGTACCTTATGTTAGTAGTTGCACATTCTTAGCAGTTATGTAGTTTGATAATAACGTTACGATAGATTATCAATACTGGTGGAAACGTTATGCTGGTTGCATATTTTGTACCCGGTGTGCCATGACCAGGCATGCTAATTCATCGGATATTATCAAGTTTGCCTGCCTGCTGGGTGTTGTATCTTAGCTTCACTGTACTACAAATACGATAGGCATAGTTTTCCTAAATTGCTTCTTTATAACATTCAGTTTGTTTTGCTGCAATCTTTTCACGTGTTTTGCAGGATTGTAGCCAAGGGTGAATACCATTATGATGAGCGAAGGTCTCTGAGAACTCATGTCTGAAGGCTGGTCATGTTGGCCCAACGATGACTTTCATTGCCTGTTTCCGCCACCTTCATACTGGAATGAACTGGAACATGTTCCCTCTCTGTTTCTCATGTGGAAGGACGGAACAGATTGTTTGTCTGTCTCTGTGGATCACCGAAGGCTGAACAGTACAGTTGGAAGAATATTGGATCTCACGAAGTGACTGAATCTGAAGCGGCTGACATGCATCTGCACAGCGCTTTCTTTCTGAGATTTGCTTCAAGGCAGGTTATTGTGTACGATTTTGTCCACAGTATTCCTATATTAGCCAAACGTATTTCTCTGATAGTATTGTGACTACACACGCACAATAATCTCTCCGTCATCAGTCTTTC